TGATCTTTCCCCTTTATCCGCCATGGTGGAGCCCTCATCTGAATTACGTGGTCCGGTTTTGGGCCCCACACTACAAGGAGGATGTGGAAAAATTGGAAAGAGTCCAGCAGAGGGCAACAAAAATGATTAGGGGGCTGGAGCACATGACTTATGAGGAGAGGTTGAGGGAACTGGGATTGTTTAGTCTGCAGAAGAGAAGAATGAGGGGGGATTTGATAGCTGCTTTCAACTACCTGAAAGGGGGTTCCAAAGAGGATGGATCTAGACTATTCTCAGTGGTGACAGATGACAAAACAAGGAGCAATGGTCTCAAGTTGCAGTGGGGGAGGTTTGGGTTGGATATTAGGAAAAACTTTTTCACAAGGAGGGTGGTGAAGCACTGGAATGGGTTACCCAGGGAGGTGGTGGAATCTCCTTCCTTAGAAGTTTTTAAAGTCAGGCTTGACAAAGCCCTGACTGGAATGATTTAGTTGGGAATTGGTCCTGCTTTGAGCAGGGGGTTGGACTAGATACCTCCTGAGGTCCCTTCCAACCCTGATATTCTATGATTCTATGATCACCCCCTATGCCTCAGCACCCCAGGGACCCATCATCCATTCCAGTGGCCAGGCTGAGCAATCGCAGGAGACACCCTACAGCCCACTGCATGTGTGAGAAGGGAGGCTCCAGGCATGAATGTCCTGAGAGATGTCTGACCCTTGCCAGCCCTGATATCAGATCCTAAATAGATACAGTTTATGGGGAAATGAATTTGACAGGAAGCAGGATTGTTATTCACTGAGAAAAGTTAAAAATAAATAAATAACCACACAACCTAGAAAGTGACTAAGAGGAAAGTCTCTTCAGACAATCAGCTGTCAGTAAAATTATTTTTTACAGAGCCCAAAAACAAACTTGGTTCTTCACATAGTCCTGTAGAAAGTCAAAGTCCCTGACACAAAACTCTTGCTTCGGGTCTAATATTACCTGTGACACAATGAGATGGTCACAAACAATAAGGAGGAAGAGATGAAGTAGCATTAAAATCACTCAGTGATTCAGTATGAGCATTAGCCTTCAGAAGAAAACAAAATATCCGTAAATCTGAACACTGCTGAGACTGCTGCATGTAACAGAAAAGTCAGGTTAGGGAGGTTTTGGTTTGCTTGCTTCTTGTAGGCAAATGTTAGAAGGGATGATTTAAAGTATGAGGTCATGAATTTTAGGGAGGGGTAACCAGAAAGGACTACTATGTCATCTAGTCTGACTTCCTGCATAGAACAGGCCACAGAATTTCACCCAGGAACTGCTGCAGCGAGTCCTGTCTGGTGGTTGAACAAGAGTCTCTCCCTTAGAAAAGCATCCAGGATTGATTTCAAGATTTCAAATAATGGAGAATCTACAACGTTCCTTGGTGATCTGGTCCAACGGCTAATTCCCTCATTTAAAAATATGCACCTTATTTCCAGTTTGAATTTGTCCAGGTTCAAGTTCCACCCATTGGCTCATGTTCTGCCTGTTTGTTAAAGAGCCCTCCATTACCAGAAATGTTCTCCCCGTGTAAGTATTTATACACTGAGTAAATCACCATCTCTTAAACTTCTCTTTGTCAAGCTAAACAGATTGAGCTCCTTTAGCTTATCACTGTACAGCAGATTTTCCAGTCCCTGAATCATTCTTGTAGTGTGTTTCTGAACCCTTTCCAATTGTCCAACATCCTTCCTGAAGGGTGGACACTGCAACTGGACACTATCCAGTAGTAGTCTCACTGATGCTGTCTAGACCAGTGGTTCTCAAACTGGGGGTCGGGACCCTTCAGGGGGTCGCAAGGTTATTACATGGGGGGTCATGAACTGTCAGCCTCCCCCCCCAAACCCCGCTTTGCCTCCAGCATGTATAATGGTGTTAAATATATAAAAAAGGGGTTTTAATTTATAATGGGGGGTCATACTTAGAGGCTTGCTATGTGAAAGGGATCACCAGTAAAAAAGTTTGAGAGCCACTGGTCTAGATGTATATGAAAGACATATATGGTCCCACACATCGCACTCTTCAAAGTCACAGTAGTGGTAACAGCCTAACACTGACCACTGACACAGGAGAAATCCTTCAGAAATGGTGACAGCATTTCAGTGATCTTTTGACCGCACCGTCCAACATCACAGATGAGGCATTAAGAAGAGTAGTGGGTCAGCCAACATGGACACAGTCCTGTTCTTTGGCAAAGTCAGCACTGCAATCAGTGTGAAAAACTGTAGGTCCCCCAGATCTGACGGTATTTCTGCAAAATATTCAACTATGGAGGTGAGATCCTGCGAAGGCAAATGCAGTGTTGGGTACTGAAGACATACCACAAGACTTCAAAGATGTCACTATATAAAAGAGGAAAGGTGAAAAGTCTGATTGTGGTAACTATCGAGGTATCCCATTACTCTCTATGGCTGGAAAGGTTCTGACTAGAGCACTCTTTGTTTGTCTGCTATGCAACATTGCTAATAGTGTGCTACCAGAGTTGCAATATGGTTGTAGGCCAACACATAGAGCAGCAGACATGTGTGACGCTCTGTATCTCAGGGGAACACCCTACACCCCCACGTTCATCCGTATAACATGACTGTGTGGTGTCCAATGCAAAGTGTGTCATGTCGGGTGTCTTCGGAAGGCTCATGATGCACTGAGCATTGTTGTTACAGTAATGCTATAGGTTATAATTTCATGTATGTAGTTATGAGGCTGAAAATTCATCTTCATGGCTTAAAATAAGCCCAGGCAAAAACGCTCCAAGAGCAGAGAGGCAGTTCACACCTCATCAGGGCAGTATGGGACAAACGCAGCCCCGCCTCACAGGAACAAAGGACGCTGGCCAAGGCAGCAACAAAAGGATCTATCTGTTGACTCTTGAGTGAGTCCCCGCCCCTTTGGCCAGTTTGGGACTGCAATGCGGTAATGCTCACCTGACTCTGAAGTGGGGGGGGGGGTAAAGCCAAGAGAGAAGAAAGAACATAATAAAAGGGAGAGACTTTGCCATGCTCTTCCTCTCTTCCACCAAGCGACTGAAGCGCTGATCAAAGGGGAGAGCCTGGCTGAAGGGCAACCAGCTAGCCTGTGGTGAGAAGCATGTAACTTTGTAAGGGCACTGAAAGTGCTACGCTCAGCTTAGAATGTGTTTTGCTTTTATTTCATATGACGAAACCTGGCTTGTTGTGCTTTGACTTATAATAACTATAAAGATAAATTTTAAGTGACTAAATCTGTTTGTTTATTCTACCTGAAGTAGCGTGTTTGGTTTGAAGCGTGTCAGAGACTCTCCTTGGGAGAACAAGTCCGGTACATATCAATTTCTTTGTTAAACTGATGAACTCATATAAGCTTGCAGTGTCCAGCTGGCATAACTGGACACTGCAAGACGGAGGTTCCTAGGGTTGTGTCTGGGACTGGAGATATTGGCTAGTGTCATTCGATTGCAAGTAGCTGGGAGCAGCTGACATGGCAGAGGTTGTGCGTGAACCGCCCAAGAGTGGGGGTCCTCACAGCAGAGCAGGGTAAGGCTGGCTCCCAGAGTCAAGGATTGGAGTGACCTAGCAGATCACTGGTCCAGATAACACCAGAAGGGAAAGTCACAACATGATATTTGTAACCCATTAGATGCAGGAGAAATGCAGAGAACAGCAACATGACATTTACACTGTCTTTATTGACCTAGCTTTATTGACACTGTCAGAGTAAACCTGGGCTTTTTTACAATTATAACGTAAGTTTGGTTGTCCAGAAAAATTCATCAACATTCTGAGGCAATTTCATGATGGAATGCTTGGATAAGTCTGCATAGATGGTGTTCTGTCTGACCCATTTACTATTACTAAAGGTATTACGCAGGGTTGCATAATTGGTCCACTCTCATTTAATCTCTTCTATGTAGCTATGCTTGATGATGCTACAAGAGACCTGAATGCCGGTATCAGGATACATTTCCAATCCTCTGGAAAATTATTGAATCTGAACAGGCTGCGATCTCCCACAACGATCTTCACAGCAATTGTTCATGAGCTGCTGTAAGCCGATTACTGTGCTCTAGAGGCACATACTCTAGAAGATACACAATTGATTATGGACAGATTCACAGTGTCTGCAGAAAGGTATGAGCTGACAAGCAATCTGAAAAAGACAGAGGTCATGTATCAACCTGCACCAGGGAGACCCTACGTGAAACCAAAAGTCACCATTAGCAACACACAGCTGAATGCTGTTATGGACTTCAGCTATCTTGGTAGTATATTGTTGAATGATGTTACCATAGATAAGGAGCTGACAAGTCTTATCAACAAAGCCAGTTCATCATTTGGCAGACTATCAGGCAGAGTCTGGCAGCAACATGGTATTAAGCTTCAAAATCAAGTTAAAAGTCTATAAAGCAGTTATGCTGTCCAACGTGTTGTATGAGTGAGTGAGAGATCTGGACCTGCTACAGGCATCACATTAAGCTTCCAGATAAGTTCCATTTACAACATCTGCATGCCATACTCTGCATCAAGTGGCAGGATAAAACCATCACTAACGAGGTTCTGGAATGTAGATGCCCCACAGGGATTGAAGCCATGTTTATCGCATCACAGTTACGCTGAGCTGGTCATGTGCTGAGGATGGATGACACCAGAATGGCCAAAGCAGTTGCCATATGGTGAACTGAAAGTGGGCAACTGCATATGAAGCAGCCAGAAGAAACGCGTCAAGGATACGCTGAAGCATAACTTAAAACAGTGCAAGTGACATTGACCGCTGGAAGTTGTCAGTACCAGACAGATCAGGCTGGCAAGCAATAGTCAACGATGGGGTTACCCAATTCAAGATTAACTGCCAGATGGATCTTGAGGCACAGAGGCCGAGTCATAATCAGCAGCAGACTCAGCAGGCACAGACTGTAATCTCTTCCTCCACGTTAAGCTACCTGTGCACGTCACATGGAAAGGGCTGCCACTTGCACATTGGTCCTGTTAGCCACAACCATACTCACAACACGTCATCTTTGGTCATGAAGGACAAGAAGAAACAATGCAGAGGTAACACCTCTGATGTTGAGGTCAGACTAGATGACCTCATGGTACCTTCTAGCCTTAAAACCTATTGGGGGCAGGAACCCACACCTCTCTACTCCTACTCAATATTCTCCTATTTATACATCCAAGGACTGCATTAGCCATATAAGCCACAGCTTCACACTGGGAGCCTTTGGTTATCTACTGTAACCCCTGATGGGTTTTTTTTTCCAGAAGTGATTAATGGATTTTGGGAGGGCTTTCCAAACATAGGGGCAGCATGCAAGCCAGCACACGGTAGAAAAGGGACCGGAAATGAAGATGCAATGGCCAGGAAAACAGTACTTATTACTTTATTCATTGGCTGCAGCATTGCCTGGGAAGCTGGATTCGTCACATGGTAAAATCAGGTGATTTTCATTAATGAGATGGGGAGACAAGCTGACAGTGAGCCATGCTTAAAGAGTCTTAAGTAAAAACAGTCCACATGGCTGCACAGATGACAATTAGAGAGCAGAGCAGCACGGACAACAACATTGCAGGGATACCAATGACTTAACTAATGCCCTCGCAGGCAGGGTCCCAAGCAATAGAATCACGGGGTTAGAATGAACTGCAAAGGTCATCTAATCTAACCCCCCAATACACCTTCAGGCCAATACACAGCAATCAGGTTCAAGAAACAGGTGGCCACAACCTATACTAAAAACACCCTAAAGCAACCTGGGCCTGCAAGAAGGGCTATTGAGTGAATGCAAGAGGAGGGAATCAGGTACCTATAGTATGCCCCCATGGGATTTTGGTTTCAGAGGTGGGCTAGGACTTTTCAAAAACTTTGCCATGATTTTCACAACTTGCGATCTTGCTGGTCTTGTCCCCAGCGTCCCTCGTGACCTTTCCCAAAACATGCCTTGACAATCCTCCATCCCTAACTACAGAATACAGTGCTGCTAGGTGTGGGGTATTTGGAAGACAGTGTTGCAAGATGTGAAACTGAAATATGTTGGTGTGATGGTTTCCAGTCTCTGAGAGGTAAGTCAGGCATCTCATAGCAGTTTAAAGGGACACAATAAATTTGAAATCTAGTCAATTTCAAAAAATGAGTGAAAGTAGTTTCAAATATTTAAATCCACATACACACCACCACCCCCACCAATTTGGTTTTACAGTTGCATGTTCCCGTTTTTTAAAACTGTTTTTCCCCCCGTTGCTGTGAGACACTCCCACACAAACAATTGGGGAAACTGGCTAACAGCCTATACAGCAGAATCAGTGAGAGTGATTACATACAAAGTCAACTATAACAGAGGGAGAGAGAGAGAGTGAGCGAGTGAATGCACTTCTAACCTCTGTCAGTTGCAGTGATCTCAGGTGTTACAACAGCAGCAGTGGAACATTTTTCAGACTCAAGTGTGATACTGAAGTTTACGGTTTCCATTTAACATAAGGAAATCATCTAAGACCAGGCGATTTTGACCTGTAGCTTTTCTCAGCTGTAACACCAGCCAGAGCCTCATGCAAACCTTGATTTCCAATTATACTCACCTCTCCATAATCTGTTGTGAAGAGCACCAACCCATCATTGCATGAGCCAACAGTGCACGGCTGCAGCTGATCTTGCTCCCGTAGCCACACCCGGGTGCCCTGCAATTAAATATTGCCCATTAGAAACAACACAAGATTCAAGTCACTTTCCACTGTACCTTGCACCAGCTGCTACCACATTTGTGTGTGAGCACTCAAAAGGGACACCCATCCCTAGTTTCACAAAGGAACTACTGAAACCGCTTTCCATGTGCAAGGTCACAGCTCTGTGTGTGTCACAGACAGAGGTCACAGTTCTATCTCCCCTTGAGATGGAAGGTGGACCCGCTTCTCCGCCTCTGCTCAGCATCCAAGCAGGGCATGGGGAGAAGAAGGCCCATAATAAGGTAACTATAAAGAGCATTACAGCATGGCTGCCTCCATGAGACACTTACCAGGGCTTGTCTGAGTGTGATCAGCGAAGTAAAAGGTGGAAAAGCATTTGATACACTGCTAAGTCAAGCTAGAAAGATCTAGGCTATTACTTTTGAAATGTGGCATCTGATTTTGAAATCCCAATTTGAGACATATGAGGTGTTCAGCACCTCTGAAAACTAGGCCTAGGTGTTTTTGTTTTTTGTCTGTCTCTGCGGCTGCCTGATTGCATACTTCCGGTTCCAAATGAGGTATGTGGTTCATAACACTGAGGTTCTACTGTAAATTCTAAATAGGGGAAGCATATGGGGTAGGGAAAGGTGGCTACTGAATTAACCGTGAACCTGAATAGTCAGTACCTTATTATCAGTTATTTGTGTTTAAATTAAATTAATTTAATAAGTCTCAGACTTTTCCATGCCATGTATCTCTCTGGCATTCCATCACCCTGCCCTCTAGGCCCAGGACATGCTCCCCTCCCCAACAACCGATCACACCACCCTCTAAGTCCATGACACTCCTGCCACCCCATCCCATCGCCCTTGCTCTGGGAAGCTCTCCTCACCATCCTATCCTCATCTACCAGGTGACCTCTCCCCCCACCATGTAACCCTCCTATGAAAAACAAAACCTATATAAAGCTATGTTGAGAATGTTACTGTAGTGAGGCGGTATGGCCTCCCTCCGAGCCAGAGGGGAGGAACCACCCTCCCTGCCCAAGTGGGCGGAGCCAGGACTGCCTCGCCCTCCCACTGGAAATACGTGACTGGAACAGGAAGTATAAAGGGCGGGGCAGAGACACAGAGGGAGGCAGATGGATCCCGCTCGCTCCCAGCCGCTGACCCTGCTGCTGAGACCAGCGACGCCCTGCCCATCAGGGAACTTACCTCTGCCACGGACCTGCCAGGACTGCCCTGGGCCACCTACCCAGAGGAGGCAGATGACGCCCTGCTAACCCAGGTACACCCCGAGGGAAGGAGAGGGGAGGGAGTGGTGGAGGGACAGCTGACCTTAGTCTGACTGCAGCTTTGCCAGAGACACAGTCAGCGTGTTGCGGCTGGAATCACCGCTGACCCACTGGCAGACCACTCTGCCACGGTTAGGGCCCTGGGTCGGGGTCCGGTGGAGCATGGTGGGCCCGGACCTCACCTCCCCCCCCCCACCACACACACACACACACACCACCGAGAGGCAGCCTCCCCTCACCAGGTCCAGTGGCCTGTGCTCATTGGTTGTCTGATGGAGTTAGGACACCCAAGCCCTGACTAGAGACCAGAGCTCATTAAATGCTGGGTTTTCTCTGGCTGTGTTACAAGTGTCGAGGACTACTTGACTACTGGGTGTGCCCTGTCTCTGAACCAAGAGACTAGGGCCAGTTGGCTACAGCATTTGCCCACTTCCTGCTTAAAGGGGCCTAGGGCTATAACCCATTGACTGTTCATAGAATCATAGAATATCAGGGTTGGAAGGGGCCTCAGGAGGTATCTAGTCCAAACCCCCTGCTCAAAGCAGGACCAACCTCAACTAAATCATCCCAGCCAGGGGTTTGTCAAGCCTGACCTTAAAAACCTCTAAGGAGGGAGATTCCACCACCTCCCTGGATAACCCATTCCAGTGCTTCACCACCCTCCTAGTGAAATAGTGTTTCCTAATATCCAACTTAAACCTCCCCCACTGCAACTTGAGACCATTGCTCCTTGTTCTGTCATCTGCTACCACTGAAAACAGCCTAGATCCATCCTCTTTGGAACCCCCCTTCCAGGTAGTTGAAAGCAGCTATCAAATCCCCCCTCATTCTTCTCTTCTGGAGACTAAACAATCCCAGTTCCCTCAGCCTCTCCTCATAAGTCATGTGCTCCAGCTCTCTAATAATTTTTGTTGCCCTCCGCTGGATTCTTTCCGGTTTTTCCACATCCTTCTTGTAGTGTGGGGCCCAAAACTGGACACAGTACTCCAGATGAGGCCTCACCAATGTCAAATAGAGGGGAACGATCACGTCCCTCGATCTGTTGGCAATGCCCCTACTTATACAGTCCAAAATGCTGTTAGCCTTCTTGGCAACCATGGCACACTGTTGACTCATATCCAGCTTCTCATCCATCGTAACCCCTAGGTCCTTTTCTGCAGAACTGCTGCCTTGCGACTCGGACCCTAGTCTATAGCAGCGAATGGGATTCTTCCTTCCTAAGTGCAGGACTCTGCACTTGTCCTTGTTGAACCTCATCAGATTTCTTTTGGCCAAATCCTCTAATTTGTCTAGGTCCCTCTGTATCCTATCCCTACCCTCCAGCGTATCTACCACTCCTCCTAGTTTAGTGTCATCTGCAAACTTGCTGAGGGTGCAATCCACACCATCCTCCAGATCATTAATGAAGATATTGAAGAAAACCGGCCCCAGGACTGACCCTTGGGGCACTCCGCTTGATACTGGCTGCCAACTAGACATGGAGCCATTGATCACTACCCGTTGAGCCCGACGATCTAGCCAGCTTTCTATCCACCTTATAATCCATTCATCCAGCCCATACTTCTTTAACTTGCCAGCAAGAATACTGTGGGAGACCATATCAAAAGCTTTGCTAAAGTCAAGGAATAACACATCCACTGCTTTCCCCTCATTCACAGAGCCAGTTATCTCATCATAGAAGGGAATCAGGTTAGTCAGGCATGACTTGCCCATGGTGAATCCATGTTGACTGTTCCTGATCACTTTCCTCTCCTCCAAGTGCTTCAAAATTGTTTCCTTGTGGACCTGCTCCATGATTTTTCCAGGGACTGAGGTGAGGCTGACTGGCCTGTAGTTCCCCAGATCCTCCTTCTTCCCTCTTTTAAAGATGGACACTACATTAGCCTTTTTCCAGTCATCCAGGACCTCACCCGATCACCACGAGTTTTCAAAGATAATGGCCAATGGCTCTGCAATCACATCCACCAACTCCTTTAGCACCTTCGGATGCAGTGCATCTGGCCCCATGGACTTGTGCTCATCCAGTTTTTCTAAATAGTCCTGAACCACTTCTTTCTCCACAGAGGGCTGTTCACCTCCTCCCCATACTGTGCTGCCCAGTGCAGAAGTCTGGGAGCTGACCTTGTTCGTCTTGGGGCAAGACACACTGACTCCTGGGAGAACCTGCTCCCGCATAACAGGCCGAAGCTAGCTGCCTATCTGGGAACTCAACCCCGTTAGGCCCATTGGGATACTAACGCCAAAGTGCTAATTTCCCCAATACTAGGCTGAGATCCCGACGACGCAGTGAGGCGGGGTAGCCTCCCTCCGACCCAAAGGGGGAGGGACGACCACCACTTGACTACAGTTACATTTGCATGGTTAATCACTTTACAGTCAGCACATACCAGGGTTAAGGTTGCTCGTGCCTTTACAGTGCCCCCAGCCCCATGAGTCTACACAATTATGACACAAGCTTTACTTACATGATCATATATTATTAATAATATCCTCTCATAAGAACATATTCTACAGCTTTAGATACCCAAATGTAGCATTTATATAACTTTTTTCCCCAATTTTTGCATACTTGTCTTCATTGTCACAACAGATCAGCGTTTCTGGACTGACACTTGATAGGATAGGCTCCTATTTCCTAAAGGTCTGTATTTTAACATTTCAGTCAGCAGCTGTTTGTTTACAATTGCTTTACAAACAGCACTTCAGGGAACAAAACAGTTAACTGTAAAGTTGGCTTAGCTGCAAATTTAGGTGACTTATATATGCCAAAAATTCTTGCTATTACTCTTTGTTTTTATGCTTAATCTATAATATACTGTATAACCGCTTACTGTACAATTTTCATAT